GAAACAATTGAAACGCGTCAACAGCTTGTGCTTTGTCTTTTAGTAGATAAAGCCAAGTAAAACGGGTAAACGCATCCACAAAGGTTATATAATAGCGAAAGCCATTGGAAGCAATATGAGGAGGTCCCCACAAGTCTGAGAATACAAGTTCAAATGGTGCAGTATACTCAGTATTGGATGCAGAAAAAGGGAGTTTATGACTTTTGCCCATAAAGCAAGCCACACATGTTTTATTAACATCAATATCCAGTTTTATATCAATTTTTCTGCAATTTTATTAAAAGCAAAACTAGCTGGATGTCCCAACCGTCGATGCCATAGCTCAGACTGAGTCACATCTGTAGTTGCAAGATGAACTGCAGTACTACAGCCTTATGAAGTCAGATCACTAAGCGAAAAAATATAGAGTCCTCCTTTCTCTTCACCTTGCAGAAGAATCGCCTTAGAGAATTCATCACGAACAAAGCATTTCTCAGCATGAAATTCAAGGTAAACCTTGTTATCCCTAGCAAGCTTAGAGACCGAAAGCAAATTCTTGGTTATGTGAGGCACATGCAACAATTCAGTCAAGATTAGAGTTCTTGAAGAAGCAGAAGAAACAACCGCATTACCAACATTATGAATATCAACAGAAACTCCATTGCCAACAGTAAGTTTACCTGGACCTCTAAACTCAACAGGGTTCGAGACATTCTCAGCATCTGGTGTGATATGATGCGTAGCTCCAGAATCCATCACCCAATGATCACTGGACCTGGAGACCGTATTAGCTTGCAAATTGCATGCTGGCTGAGAATGTCCTTTATAACGTTCACATCCCAGGTTTGAAGTTTCAGTAGCAGAGTAGTGTGCATTGGCAGACTGCCCTTTATGAGCTTGAGACTCAGATGTAACACACATAAAATCTTCATCATAACGATGCCAACATCGATCAACCAAGTGACCGAATTTGCCACATAGCTGGCATTGAATCTTAGTTCGTCCTCGGCCTCGTCCTCCTGTCCTGTTTGTAAACGATGATCGTGCAGATTTAGAATCACGTCGTCCATCAGAGAGTCATGACCTTCTACTCTCTCAACAACATTGGCTGCCATAGGAGCATAATCAAACTGCTCATCGAACCCGGCCAACTGTGCTTCCGCATCTAGAAGGACGGTGTAAAGGCTGTCCAACGACAGTGTTTCCTTCATCGTAGTGATGACTGCCATAAACGGTTGATACTCCCTGGGCAATCCTTTCAAGATGCTGGCAACATGTCCAACATGTGAAACTGCACTACCACACGAGGCAAGTGCGTGACATACCTCTTTTACACGAGTGAGATACACTCGCATGCTATCATTTCCCTTCCTAAATGACTGTAACTTGCAGTGCAAACTCATAGCAGCCGTCGTGGATCTGCTCGCAAAGAGTTGTTGCACAACACTCCACACTGCAGCTGCAGATTCAGCACCAACAAAATGAGGAAGAAGATGAGAGCTAATGTTGACAGGAGCCACGAAGCAAGCGCACTATCCTGCGCAACAAAATCCTCAAATGCATCATTGACACGAATCGCACCGGTATCATCAAGAATCGTCTCCGGTGGTGATTGTAGAGCTCCGGTCAACAAGCGCTCAAGACGGTGACTCCTTACCGTGAGCAGAATTTGCTGCATCCACAGAAGGTAGTTCATCTCATCAAGAACAACGTTGATTTTCTTATGAGAGAAGCTCGTACTTATGGACGACTCCATTGAAATACCAAGCAAAAATCGTGCAGCAATAGTTTTTCAAGAAACCCCAAGACTAACGGCGAAAGATACCAAATTAAGAAACTGTATATGAAGAAAATGTATTGAATTCACGTGAGTTGTATTTACATTCATACTAGCTTTATAGCTAGAGTCAAGCTAACAACCACTTAACTGACTAACAATATTTGGCGCCTAAACTAACTGACTGCCAAAGCCATGCTATAATACATGCATGTACACAATATGCTATAGCCTAACAAGTACTTTGGTTATGGGTATCACTTTCATGTTTTTGTTTGAGTATCGATGAGCTAAGCTTTTGAATGCCGAATGGTTTTCGAAAACGACTGGATTTATTATTTCGTTTAAATCTGATTCGATATTGTTTCACTCGATGGAAAAGTGTCATTACAAATCGATGCGAAGGTAGTGAATATGGGAAACTTCAATGCATTGTCTAGAAATCATCCAATTCGAAATCAGAGATCTTTTCTTGATAGTCACATGGGTATAACTCCAGCTGTGGGTTACCTCTGAGGTCCTCAAAGTTGACTAATGTCGCAATTTACTCACTCCAGTCATCGAGGAACCCAACGCCAACAAGCTCTAGTTTCACCCACATTGATTTTTACGGGAAGAACATGAACAATGTGAATCCGAGGGAATCGAGCTTTGAAGAAGAGAATGAGGTGTGAAAAAAAGGTGAATTAATTGATTGATTTAATATTTATATTAAATTTATATTCATTTTGACTATTTCAAATTAAAACATAATCTTAATTTTAATAGTAGTAGGATAATTACTATTTGAATATGTCAATTTTTAAAGGTATTTGTTATCTTTTTAACATGGAATATTAAAAATAATTATATACTTTTGTATATTTTAAATTAAAATTATATTTATTTAAATTTGAATGGTAAAAGGAGTTTTAAAATAAATTATTTTATGTTTAAAGTTGAATATTAAAACACATATGTTTGGATTAAATCTCTCTTAAAAGTCTCATATAAATAGTGAGTTAACCTACTATGTTAAAAAAAAGTTTGAAGCAAAAAAGTTTCAATAAGTTTTTGACAAGTTCAAAAAGAAGAAAATTTTTCTCTCTTCCACTAATTTTTCGGTGATACTCGAAGGTAAAGATAGTTTGTGATATTTATTGTTGTGTTATTGTAGTTGATCATCTAGTTGTTGTATCTTTGGAGACAGATGACTAACGAACTCGAGCACTAAAAAAGTGGCTTAAAATCTATCTTAAGAAAATTGTGTAGCGACAGACTCAATTGTTTTCGATTACAAGATCAAAATAAAGAGAGTATTTTTCTTTCTATTTAATTTTGATTTATTTTAAGAAGTTAAACTTATTTGTTTGATTTTCTCAAATTAAATTTTATCTCAGATTGTTGTTTCGAATAACAATCTCAAGACAGAGTAAACTCGTTATATCCTTTGATTTTATAATGATATTTCATTATTATTTTTCCAATATTATTCTCGGAATAATGTAGTTTTTCTAACATGAGATTGGGGTGTTCAGTAATAAAATTGTGAGAACAAATGGTGGCTCTTATCCTGCTACGACTAGTGTGGAGTTATTCTTCTGTGGGTGTATTACTCATACTAACTATCTTGCGTTTAGACTTGTTAACGAACTCTATCTTAGTTGCTATGAAGAAATTCAGGAGGGAAGCCTTTCTAGCCGTGATGATGTTGCCTACCATTACATAGGCAGAGGTTTTGATTATATTCACATTGGAGACCCTTCCATTGCTAGCTTCAATCGATTTTCTCATTCTCCTCATCTTTTTTAGCAGTTTTGGCCGTAAAAAATAAGCCCAACATAGTTGATTAACCAGAAAAACCATGTCCACGCCGTCGACGTTGAATCTTTACCAGTTAGGACAAAGCTTATAACTATGCCTCTCAAGAATTTCATACTCGTTTCTTTATCAACAAACTCCATCTTCGATGATGTTTTTGAAATAAATCTCAGTTGAAGTGTTTGACAAACGAGGTACGAGATTATTAACTTCTTGTGACGTCACCACATCAGATATGAAGTGTTTGATAAACTTGGTTTTGAATTCGTGGCTGGAGACCTTACGCTGAATGGTCCAAAGATCACCGTCATGGAGGTGATCGTGAAACTGGGAGCCTTTGACGTAGTTTTAAAAGTTGGCGAATAGTATGTGGTGGACGTTAAGGAAGGAGTTGACTTGGAAACTGAACGATTAAGGGTAGATTCCAAGAACCACTGTCAGTCATAATATCTGTAAAGTGCGGGTAGTGCTCTGGGGCCGAAGAGTCGGTTGCAAGGTTACGTAAGGTGTCCCCAAAGGGGAGCCAAATGTCATCCCAAAGCCTTATAGTGGAACCACTGCCGATAGACCACATCATATTTGATCGAAATTCGTTCCATATGTTTGAGAGAGAGCGCCATAGGGGCGAGCAAGAAGAAAAACAAATGGATTGCGGAAGCAGATCAGTGATTTTATATTTCTGTCTGAGGAGCTGAACCCAAAACGAATTCGGCTTGGTAGTCAAGGCTACGACAATCTTTAGGAGGAAAGATTGGTTATAAGCACGACGGATGCCAATGCCTCTACGATCGAGAGGTTGACAGAGAGTCTCCCGATTAACAAGGGAAATTTTTGAAGCTGTAGGAGAGGAGCCCCAAATAAAAATTTCGAATGATCTTTGCGATGTAATGGCAAACTTTTTTAGGGAGCAAAGTAGTTTGCATAAAATACAATTGAATAGCCTCTAAGACAGATTTTGCAAGAGTGATATGCGCTGCGAGAGAAAGTCTTTTTGGCCCATCCGGAAAGGAATGATCGTATTTTTTCCAGAATGAAGTTGAAATCAGAACAGCGAATGATTTGTAGGATAACTGCACCCCAAGATATTTGCCTAGATTATCAACAGTTTTAAAACCCAAAAAATTGCTAATGGGAGCTCGCACATCTACTGGAGTGTTCAGAGAAAAATAGAGATGGGTCTTTTGCTTATTCAAGCGGTGACCCGAGTAAATACCAAACTCCGAAAGGACAGAGTCAATAGTGGTTGCATTGGCCATATCAGCGTGGGAATATAAAATGAGATCGTCAGCGAAAAACAAGTGAAAGAGGGGAGATCCTTGGTGAATTGAAAGGGGGTCCATGAGCCAGAATTGACCGTGTTAGAGATGTCATTTATGTAATTTACCCTTAAATTTTTTTTAAAGTTGAAAATGTTACCCAAAATAACGGAATATCCATCCTTTAACCTAAAATCCCCGTCAATTAAAGACCCAATTTTTGCACGCAGAAACAAAGCAGAATAAATGGAGGATTTGAAGAAGAGAAAGATGGAAGACATGGGAAACAACGGACAGTTATCAACTCTAGAAGACCTACGTTCTTTGCTTGACCCTCTTGCTAAATCCCAGCTCGTCGATCTTCTTTCTAGATTGTATGTTCATCTTTTTATATTCCTTATTATCTCTATTTCTTTTTATTTTCTTCCCAAAAACCCCTACATAACTTGAATTGTACTGAGTGAGAATTTCTGGGTCTTCTTTCCTTGTGTATTTTGGGTAATTTTTAAGGGGTTTCCTCGAGAGTTGCTTTGGTTTTGGTAGATTAGTTGCGATTCAGTGATTCTTTAAGTTTGTTTGAAGTTATAAAAGTCCATCAAGTGAAGCTAAAACTGGTGCCGAAGTAAATTTATTTACTTTTTTTTCCTTTGGAAATATGAAAAACAATTCTTCATAGATGCTTCGACGGTTCTGAATTTTTTTTTTGGGGTGGGGCGGTTAATTTTAAATGTTCTTTTATTTGTTTCCTTATAAATGCTTCTGGAAGTCTTTTAGCTTATGTTTAAAAATTCAGTTGTTAAACTTCTTCCTTCTACCAATAAAACAGTGCAGCATTGTAGTTATTCCTAAGTTCTCAACTATTTCTATTGGCATTGTCAAAGTTCGAAACGTTCAAATTTGGTTTTGATCAATTCAGGGATAACTTGAATGCTTGTTATTTTGAGCTAAATTAGCATTATTAAGTCAATTTCCGAGTCTTTTTTTTGCATTTTCCTTTCCAGGACTTTTTTTTCATACTTCAATTTGACACTTACTTCTAGGATGTTTCTGTATTGGCTTGTATAACCAAGTGCCTTGTTCTGGATAATCTTTTTCCTTCGGTTTGGTTCCTATTTTAGATGCTCTTTGTAAGAAGATATGGCCCTTTTAAGAACTTGATGTCATGTTCTGTGCTAAAGTAAGGGTCTTGATTTATATTCTTTTACACCAAATGTTAGAGCAAATTTTTAGTGCAACCATCCTCTATATTTCGGAAAGTTCTATAGGGGAGAAACATGAGTGGAACCTACTCTTTATATATACAACAAATAGTGTGCAGATGTTCTGTATGCTGCGGAAAAGAGTAGAATAATGAGTGAAATTATTTTGATTGTGAGGAACTTAAAAATGTTAAAGAGGCACTATTTTAAAGCATCTGTACCTAATCAAGTTTGATTTTTATTTCATAAAATATTAAAAGAAAATAAGGGGGCGGGTGCCTTGTTTGTATCATCAATCATGTCATGAAAGTTTTCTAACTTTTTTGGCACTGGAGTCGGCTACCTTTATTTCCATCATATGAAATGAGTGTGTTTGTATTTGAAGTATTAAAGGCTAATTGTGGCTCCAAATCTTCTCTCTGTTTCGTTCATTGTGTGAGAGTGCGATGCTTGTGTTAAGTGAATGTGTGCTATGACTGTTACTTGAAATTGTATGCTGTGTGATTGACTTTATGGATGTGTGCTTATTTGCATGTTGACGCATAAAGAGGGTCCCAATTTACTTCAATTGCTGAAGAAATTAAAAGTATTGCCAGTTCAGATCCTTTACATCGAAATCTTTTTGTTCGTGGCTTAGCCTGGAATACCACTTCAGAAACCTTGTGTGCTGTGAGTGAATTGCTGATTGCAGTTTGTGTTTTCTGTGATATTGTGGTGGTTGTTCCATACGATATAGTGTTCTGCATTAATTTTTCTATTATTCTATTATCATTATATTTCTCAACTTTTACGACCTGTACTCAGGGCTCTGTGAACTGAATGGATTGCACCTTTTTTTTTTGGCCTAGGCCTTTTGAATGCATGGAGAAATAGAAGAGGGGCTGTCATCTATGACAAAGCCACAGGAAAATCTCGTGGATACGGTTTCATTACTTACAAACACATGGAGTAAGCGAATAGTGCACATAGAGCACCCAGTACTCATTGATGTAAGCAATAGCTACGTTTCAGTTTTTTGCAGGCTAGGCTCTTCTTCATAAAGACAAGCATCTCATGTCATCTCATCTTTTTTCTTTCTAATTTCTTACAATGAAACATGCATTCCACTGCAATCTTTTTTTTTTCCTTTTGGATTTTCTACTAAGCTCTCTTTTTTCTGTCCATACAAAAATTCATTTAATTTCACGATGGGAAATAGAATTTTTTCCATTAATAACTTCAGTTTGGTCAACAGGTCAAGCCATTCTTTTAATATAAATCTGAACAAGAATTACTACTAGGACATGAACACAAGTGATGCAGAATGCGATGTGGATTCAATTTCTTAATGCATGTGCATGGAACAAAGCCTCTTATTGGCTGCTATCAAGATTAATGATATATTGTAGCGTACATTCCTATTTTTAACCTGTGGAGTTAGAAAGACGTGTAGCTATGATGGTCTTGGCATATGGAATTAATATTACTCCAATGTGAAGCTAAATATTTTGAGAGGGAAAATAGAAGGTAGAAAACTAATTCTTGATTGATGATACAACATGACTCTGAGGTGAATCACCTGCAGTAGTGGTTAGAAAGCACTGGCATCAAAGAACATATGTTGGTAGCATATATTTGGCGTTAGGACTTTAAATTTTGTAATTTTGACTTGACATGGAGATTTTTTTTTACCATTATCGTGCAACTTTGATTATATTTCCCAGGTTGATACATTGCAAAATCTATCACGGTAACATGGATGTCAGTACACGTGCAACTCCAGATTATGTGCATATCTTAAAATGGAGGAGTTGGCTACTGTATCAATATATACTTGCTTCAGATGCATTCTGTCCTTTGATACATGTGTGGTTGATACATTTTTCTGTCATTGACTTTATTTCTTAACTGGTCCATATTCAGGGCCGGAAGGCTGTATGTAATTTAGCTTTTGAGGGGTTAAGTGGGTTGGGTGCCACACCTGATCTTGCACAAAGGAAGCTCTATATTGGGGGCCTATCACCAGATGTCTCAGGTGAGATGCTTCTGAATTATTTTGGAAGACATGGTGAGATTGAGGAAGGCTCAGTTGCATATGAAAAAGATACAAATGAATCACGGTGCATACTTTATCTTTTTGGATGTTCGTATGTTATGTTTTTTTCATTTATACTTTCGGCATACTTTGCACAAGTGACATATCGTTATCTTTTCCTTTCATGTAAAGTGGGTTTGGTTTTGTTACATACAAAGACAGTGGAGGCTGCAAAGAAAGCGATTGATAGTCCACAAAAGATTCTTGGGGTATGTAAACAATACCACTATCTGTGGTGGCCTTGACTTGCAAAATATTTCTTTCGTCTTTTCTTTCTTCTGTTGACAAAATTTGTTGCTTTGAAAATGGCATATTAGCCAAAGTTGCAGTTTAGAACATCTGCTGTTGCATGAAATGTAAATCCAGTAAGCACTATAATTGAAGTGATAGAATGTAAAGAGGGTGCCTCGATAAATTTGCACATTGAAGTTGATGTAGTGGGGAGCTGTGTTCCTCCAACTCTTCATTTTTCTTGGAAGTACCCATGTTTGACACTTGTGTTCGACATAAATCGGACATGGGTATGGAGCTATGATCCTTCAAAGGCCCTCTAAATACATGAAAAAAACTTTGAACAAATTGAACATATCTGTGACAGGCACATACCTCCAAGTAACATCCGAGTAACATAGGTGGGAAGTGATTCGGCCTAGATTATTATAATTCCTTTGATAAGGTATATACAATGAAATGACTTTTATATGACTAATATTATCATGAAGATCTATAGAGATTGCTTGATAAGTTGGGTTTCTTTGCAGGGGAGAACTATCATTGTGAAGCTTGCTGATACCAACAAGGGAAAACCTTTACAAACACAGTTACCCCTGCAGCTGTAATTCCTCTTGCGATGCCTATGGCACCTGGCTACCCACAGCTTGGGAAAGCACACCTCAGTGCTGCCCCTGCTGGCTACGCTTATCCTCAACCTGTGGCATCATATCAAACTTCTTCATACTCTAGTCCTAGCGCGGCACCTGCACCATACCCAAGCCAACCGCCAATTCCTTATGCACCGGGTGCTGCAAAGAAAGATCCACAAGGAATCCCACCAACTGACACCATCGGATTGAGTGGGTACCCATATTATATTGGCAAACAATAATAAAGTCCCAGGCCATTCATGGTGATTTTCTGAACCTCCATTTATGATTACTTAATGCAACTACACTTTTTTATACACAATAGTTCACCACCATGTTTGGCCTTTTCAGGTCAGTGACATTGGTCGATTGTATCTTAAACCACTTTGCGAGAGCAGGCGTTGCAGATCAGAACAGGAAGACATCAGGAGTTGTGATATAGGAGAGGTTAATTTTCTTTAGAATGAACTGAAAGTGACTCATGACAGTTTCTTTTCTTTTGTCAAATGATATTAGGCTACTTTTGAGCTTCTGGTCGTCATGAGTTTGTATATGGATAACTACATGAATTTCTGTGTTGGTAGTAAATCGGCCAGTCCGGAAAGGGATGAATGCAGGTTTCCCGGTTCTGCCATGGAAGATTGATATGAAATATAGAGACGAACGACGAACTAGCTGTTGTTGTGTGATGGAAACTATATAATTTCAGGATTTTGAAATGTTTTGCAGATAGAGGATTAAGAAAAAGCATGAAGTTTTGCAAAATATGGGAAATCTCCGATCTCTATAATTGTTGGCTTCCAATCTCCCCAGTGATCAATATGACAACATTCATCATTCAACTATTTTTTTATTAATATGGAATAAATAAAAAGTAATATTTTTTTAAAGACAACTCTTAATTATTTGACATCGAATATATACGCCTCCAACATTCATAGTCCTACTTTAGAAAAATGGTATATAACATTCATAAATTATATATTGACATACTTGTGCACTGTGCAAAATGTTGAAGAAATTAATTATCAAAATTAGGTGCGGATAAAATTTGATTTGACTAAAAAGGTTTTTTGTTTAATTTTAGTTATTCTAATTTTTTGTATTTAATATCTCTAATATATCTTAAAAGGTTGATTGAAATGTTTCAAGTTACGTTAAAAAGATAATAGAGTATTGTTTAGATTATATTTCAAAAGTCGTAACAAGTATTCCAGAATAAAGAAACAAACAACTCTTGGTTCATCCAGAAAAGATAATTATTAATTTAATTAAAAGTTCAACACTAAGATACTGCGTGCGCACGATAGCAGGAATACTCTGGGTGCACGTTAGCAGGTCTAACGAACCGAGTCCTCCGGTGCGTCTCTGACGGCATCTCTTTCTTCTTCATTGGGTTTTCTTACTGTTTCTCCTGTTGCATTTCTTTTTCGTGTTCTATGGACTAGAGAAAATTATTTGGCTGCCAAGCGGGGCAAGAGCTTCAGTTCTTTCCACCAAAATCTCGAGATTCAAATCCTATCGTTCAGCCTCCGCCTGAAGTCTTTGAAGCCGGTATTGCAGAATGGAAGACATCTCTCGTTGGCCAATTTCTTGGGACTGCTCCCAATTTCACCACAATGCAGAGGATTATCGAGAATTTGTGGAATAACCCTAACAAGGGGGTTTATGTCCAGGTAAGTTTCGCAGGCACGAATCTTTACTTATTCAACTTTAATTATGATGCTGCGAGAAATTGGGTACTGGAGAATGGTCCGTGGAACGTCTTAAATAAGCCACTTATCTTAAGGAAATGGGAACCTAACTCAAAACGATTGCACTTTGATCTTTCCCGAATTCCCTTATGGATTCATCTTTACAATGTCCCTCTTGAATTGTTTTCAAGAGAGGGCCTTAGTTACATAGCTAGTGGTATAGACATCCCTCTCACTATGGATTCCATTATTGCCTCTAAGTCTAGATTAGAATTTGCCAAAGTATGTGTTGAAGTAGGAGTGAAAGATGTGATCCCTAAATCTATTAAAGTAATTCTTTCTAATGGCCAATCTACTATTGTCTTTGTCGAAATCCCATGGCTTCCTGTTAGTTGCAAAAGGTGCAATACCTTTGGTCATAGTGAAAAAGGTTCTCTGGCAAAAACTCCTACCAATTCTAATCCTACTCAAGCCTAGAGAGAGAGGGGAAATTCTTCCTGATGTTCAGAACTGCTCACTTGATTTTATTGATGCTTCTCAAGAAACTTTGGCTAAAGAGTCAGCTCCTATTAGTGACATTCCTAAAACTGTTTCAGCCTCTTTTAAAGATCCTGCTCCTGATCCTGCTCCATCAGAAGTCATGGATTCTTTAAAGAATCTACTCTTCTTAAAGACCTTTCCTGTTCTTTGTCTCTACTGCTACTGTAGCTGATTGTGAGCACTTTTCTACTGACTCAACTTCTGCCCCTGCTCCTTTTTTTGATTCCTCTACCGTAAATCCTCTCCCTCATTTATCTCCTGATAAAATTGAATTTTCATCAATTCCAAAAAGAGGCAGAGGAAGGCCTGTTAAAATCAAAACTAAAAATGTTCTTAAAGGATCTTCAAATAGATTTGAGGTCTTAAATTCTGTGGATGATAACTCTTATCCCTTAAAAGATCAAAGTAAGAAACAAAGGTTTGTTGCTTTAGGAGTGCCTCTTTTGATCAAAGACCTCAAAAATAAAAAGAAAGAACACCTTGGAAAAGCTAAATGTGATGTTGAAAAGGTCAAAGGGGGTGAACAGGTCTCATCTTCTCAATGATCATCAGTTTTTGGAATATCAGAGGATTAAACAATCCTCAAAAACAAAATAAAGTTCTTCAAAGAGCTAATCAATATAAGATTTATATTCTCTTTCTGATGAAAACTAGGGTAAAACCTGAAAATTTTGAAAAGTTATATAATAGTAAATTTTGACAAATTATGATTTTGCTTATAATGGAAGAATATGGATTCTTTGGAAAAAAGGTTTGGACCTCTCTTTTTGTCAAGCTACTGCCCAAAGCATCACTGTTAAAGGTCTCAGAAATGGTCTCCCCTTCTATATATTAACTATTTATGGTAGTAATGATGGTATTCAAAGAAGACACTTAAGGCAACACTTAAAGGACCTTGACTCCAATTATGGATCCTATCCCTAGATTCTTGAAGGTGATTTCAATATTATCCTTCACCCTTCTGAAAGTTCTGACCATGATATTTTAGGTCCTTATAATTCCTCTGAAATGAAGGATTTTCAAGACACTCTTCATGATCTTCTTCTTCAGGATCACCCCTTCTATAGGCCATTATTCACTTGCAGAAATAAGCAAAAAGAATCCTTCCTTGCTAGGAAATTTGATAAAGTCCTTGTCAATTCTTATTGGGTCTCCTCTTTTCAAAATTCATTTGTGGAATTTGTTGCTCCTGGACCTTCTGATCATTGCATGTCCCTTGTATGGCTCCATAAAGATTCTCATGCAAATCATCCTAAACCATTCAAATTCTTTAATTTCTGGACCAAGCATCCTAACTTTCTCCTTAAGGTTCAAAATTCTTGGCAGCAACCAATTCATGCAAACCCTATGTTGTCCCTTTTTCTCAAGCTAAAGAGACTGAAGACTTGCTTGAAAAATTTAAATAAGGACTGTTATAGTAACATTTATGCTAGAGTTAAACAAAAGAATTGAGAATCTTTATAAATGAAACTGCAGAATGAGCTTAATTCTCTTGAATCTGCTGAAAATTTGTTCCTAAAACAGAAAGCTAAAATTCAATGGCTCAAGGAGGGTGATAAGTGTTCCAAATTTTTCCATTCAGTCTTGGTTCAAAAAACAAAAGGGACACTATAAGAGTTCTTGAAAATGATTAAGGTAGTAGGCTTGATTCTTTTGATGAAATAGCCTCTGAAATTATCCTTTATTTTCAAAATCAATTGGGAAAGGTTGATCCTAATGTTAAAGATAGTGATTTTCAAGCTCTTAAACACTTTTTTCTGAAACTACTGCAGAACTGGAAAAGAACATCACTGCAGAGGAAATTAAAGAAGTTTTCTTTATTCAAGGAAATGACAAGGCTCCTGGGCCTGATGGTTTTACTCCTTACTTCTTCAAATTCACATGGTCTGTGGTTGGGGAGGATGTCATTAAAGCTGTTAAGTTCTTTTTCAGCAATTCATACATGCTGCCAGCTTTTAACTCTTCCATAATTGCCTTGGTTCCTAAAATTACAAATCCTAGCAAGGTAAAGGATTATAGGCCTATATCTTGTTGCTCAGTCATATACAAATCTATTACCAAAATTCTTGTTAAGAGGCTAACCAACCTAATGTCTGATATCATAACTCTTAAACAATCAGCTTTTGTCAAGGGTAGGAATATAATTGACAATACTCTTCTGGCACAAGAGCTTGTTAAAGGTTATGCAAGGAAAAAATATTTCTCCAAGATGTGCTATCAAGATTGACCTTCAGAAAGCTTTTGACTCTATTCATTGGGGCTTTATTTCTTCTATTCTCAAAGCCATCAATCTGCCTCCTAAATTCACTGTCTAGATTGAAACTTGCTTCACTAAAGCTAGATATTCAATCTCTCTTAATGGCTCTTTAGTTGGTTACTTCAAAGGTGAAAGAGGTTTAAGGCAAGGTGATCCTTTATCACCCATCTTGTTTGTTCTAGCTATGAATATACTTTCTAAACTCCTCAATACTGCTCCTGTCAGAGGTCTTTTCGGGTACCATCCAAAATGTAAACAAATTGGTCTTACTCATTTAACCTTTGTAGATGATCTTCTTATCTTCTGTAAAGGAAATCTGGAATCAGTTATTGGAGTTACCACTGTCCTGAAGAAATTTTATGAAATTTTGGCTTCAACTAAATGTAGCCAAATATGATCTGTTTGCAGCTGGAATCTCTTCTGGAAATCTTTAATCTATCTTAATTTCTACTGGTTTCAAGCGTGGTCTCCTTCCAGTCAGATATCTTGGTGTTCCCCTTGTTACCAGGAAACTTAATGCTACTGACTGTTCTTCCCTTATTGAAAAAATCAGATCCAAAATTCACCTTTGGTCTGGAAAGCATCTCAGCTATTGAGGAAGATTGGAGCTTGTTAAAACTGTTCTCCAAAGCTTTTCTAACTACTGGTGTAGACAGTTTTAACAGAATCAATCAGCTTTGTTATCAGTTTTTATGGAAAGGTACTGATGCAGCAGCTTCAAGAGCCAGAGTAAGCTGGAATAACCTATGTTATCCTAAATCTGAAAGTGGGTTGGGATTAAAAGATCTTAAAACTTGGAATAAGGTATGCATGATACAACTTATTCGTTCTCTCCTCGCTGGTGAAGGATCACTTTGGATTGCCTGGATTTACACTTACGTGATTAAATCCAAAGAATTCTTAGATGTTGAATAAACCCTCTTATAGCTACTGCTTTAACAGGCTTTTGAAACTAAGATCTCAGGCAATTCCAATTCTTAATTTAGGACTTTTTTCTTCTAAAAGCATTTGGGAAGAGTTACGTATCAAGCATGGAAAAATATTCTGGCACGAGATTGTCTGGTATCCCCTTCATATTCCCAAATTTATCATTATTACTTGGCTTGTAGTCTTGGATCGTCTTTCTACTAGAGAAAGACTTACTCGTATGGGAATTACAAACGTTGGCTCTTGCATCTTATGCAATGATGGCATTGAAACGAGGAATCATTTGTTTATTGAATGTCCTATGGTTGCTGCTCTTTGGAATAGAATTCTAAATCTTTCTCTTTTGGATAAGCC